GCAATCCACGTCACAAAGTCTTGGTTGCCCTTCCATGCCTTGAATAGGCCGAGGAAACGCCACAGGAAAACGTACTGTTCTCCTTTCACGCAAAATGGACGCATCTTCTTCTTGAAGTAATCTACTCCATCTGGGGCTGCAAGCCTTTCTCGGTTCAGTGATTCCTTTTGTACTGCGGCCAATCCGGAGAGCCTCGTCTTGAGATACGGACCTCTTTTGGTGTCATCCAGCGTTGTTATGTCGCACCAGTCGTCAATCAACTGTTCATACTCAAACCACGAGGTGGTGCCATCATAGGCAGGCGCTATCTTGGGCGTTATGCCTAATGATGCAAGCATGCGGTCAGATGTTGCATATGACTGTGCGACATAGGTAGCTGGACCTTGGGAGGTCTCTTCGTTCTCATATCCCCCTGAGGACTGGGAACTGCCGTCGGCTTCGCTATGCGAGCTCGACATTGTGCTGCCTCTTGTCCGCTTGGTTAAGCGTTCGGCGAGGCCGACCGCTGTAGCGGACGTTGTGAGGCGGGCGGCCCTTTCCGGGCTCCGCTACCAGAAAACTGTGCCGATACACCCCCAAGGGATACTCCTTGTGAGGAGGTGTATGACCAGTTATTCCCTAAGGATCAAAGGGCAGCGCCCTGCACACGGACAGTAGTTGTTTTATCTTGCTACGCAAGGAGAGCTTGTCTTGTCTCAATATGGTAAAACGCATGTGAGCCAATGGGCAGCGGATGTTATGTATAGCATTGCAGCCATTGCGTATGTAACCTGTTTGGAGCTACCCCTTTAGGATTTATGGGTTTCCCCCCCCGCCCCCCCCTGCCCCCCCCCTCCCCCCCCCTCCCCCCCCTCCCCTACCCATTCCTCGCACTTCGTATCAACAACCGGGTTTGACAGGCCGCCCTAGCATAAAAAAACATCGACTGCCCCCTCACCCTGCCGCTACGCAGCCGAGGCGGGCGGCGTAGCGTTAAAATTAACCGTTAATATAAGACGTTTACCCAAAACCTCAAAACCCTACACCGAAAACGAAACGACCAAGTGATTAAACCCTCACACCTTAATCGTCTCTGGCTCTCTACCTTAATTTAATCGCGAGAGCGAGGGGTTTCTGAAACAAGGCCACGAAACGACGACATCATCTTAAACTAGAGAGGCCGCTGCATGCTGATACACTTTTCCACAACCCACAACCCTATGAACCCTGGAGTCCCATACCCCAGAACCCTAAGGCCCTAGACCCTGAACCCCCTCTACTTAGAGGATCATGGGACTTAGTAACAAGGGTTATGATTATGGTAACTATACTTATACCTACTTATAACCCCAATTAAGGTACTTATAACCATAGTTGCTGAGTAACCCTAAACCCCTAAACCCTGAACCCTAAACCCCAGAACCCTCAAGCCCTAGTCCCTGAACCCCCTCCAGGGAATTCTGCAAACGGCCTCGAGCCCCTGGTTCGGAAGCTCCCCCGTGAAATACTCGGAAGGCTGATGGGCCAGTGGCCTTAGTGGGTGGTTGTCAAAATGAGGGTCCCTTTTTGGCCGCCCTATGTAATAGGTGCCGTATTTTAATAGGGACCCAAAAAGGGACCATAATTTTGACAACCACCCAAGGTTTGTTGAGGGTTTAGTTAGGCTCTATATAATGTTTAAGTTTGGCATGTGGCGTTCAGGGTCTGGAGTTTCGTGTATCGGGCTTGAGGTTAAGTTTTTGTTTGTCTGTCCAGTCTGCCTCACTCTCCCTCTGTCTGTCTTGTCTGCCTGTCTCTGTCACTGTCCGTGCGAGTGTGTGATTCGGGTGTCTTGGGCTTGCACTTACGTAGCCCCTTAAAGGATTCATTACAGGAGCCCTTAAGGGATCCCTTTAAAAATCCCATAAAGGATCCCTAAAAGGGATCCTTTAAACGATCCCTAAAAGGGATCCCACGAAGGATCTCTTAAAGGGATCCCGAAAAAGGAGCTATGGCCGAGGTACTCCGCCTCCAAAGGACCCGAAGGGCGCCTCCAAGGTGTCGAGTTCCAGTCGGGGAGCCTGCTTGGGCTTAGGGCTTTGGGTTTAGGAGTTTTAGGGATCCTAGGGTTCGGGGTTTAGGGTTTTGAGCTTAGGGTATAGGGATTATAGGGTTGAGGGTTTAGGGACTTTAGGTTTAGGGATTATAGTGTTTATGTGTTAGGGCTTAGGGTTTAGGGCTTATAGGGTTTATAGGGTTGAGGGTTTAGGGCTTGGGTGTAGGGTTTGGGTTTATTTTTTTTGGTTTGGATGTAGGCTTGGGGTTTGGGGTAAAGGGTTTGGGTGTAGGGTTTAGGGGTTGATGGTTTAGGATTTGGATTTAGGCTTGGGGCTTGGGGGGGTTCACAGGAGCTAGAAAGGTGCTACAAGGTTCCTTGAAGGGCTCTAAAACGCCCATGAGGTACAAGCAACGGTTTCGGGTTTGACGTTGAAGGGTTTCCCAAATATCGGGTTCAGGATTTGAAGTGTTGTTGCTTGCAAAGCTCAGGGTTTTGGGTTTCGGGGCATAGAACTTTTTCAGATTTGTAGGAACAGATGGTGTCGTATGGTTTAGGGTTTAGGGTGTTGGTTTATCTGATTTCTTTCGGGTCTTCGGGGTGTTAATACTGTGTTTCTTTGATTTAAGCACGTGTAAGGATTTGGAGGGTTTGATTGCCGTGGATCCAGAAACCTGTGACCTATACTGCTTTCAAGCACAAGCCATGTAATCAAGGGATCGCTTCACAGGGGCGCCTGAAGCTCTTGCACGTGTAAGGGGTTCCAAGAAGCCGACGGCTTTCGATTGTAGGGTTAAAGCGCCTTATGCCCCATGTAGCTCTAAGCTCTAACTCAAGCCTACAACCCGCGATCTTAAGCCGACATACTGTAAATGAGACCATAAGCCCTGTAGACTCTGATGAACTACGTACCACATGCCCTAAACTCTGCAACTTGATCCCTGCCCCCCAAAACCCAAGCTAAACCCGGCGTAGGCTTTGCTAAACCGGCAAACCCAACACTTAAAGCCCCAAGCAAACGGCCAGAAGATCCAAAGCCCAAAAATCCTAAACTCCCCAAAAACCGAAATGCCAAGGGGTCTCCGGGGATTTCTCTTAAAGCAACTAATCCAAGACCTCCGAATGCAGAGCCACACACGCTGTGCCTAAAAAGACTCGAAGGCTCCGTGGACACAAAGACCTGGCTCCTGGTGGGTGGTTGTCAAAATTAGGGTCCCTTTTTGGGTCCTTAATATATTGGTTTAGGGTTTAGGGTTGTCAAAATTAGGGTCCCAGTTTGGGTCCTTGTTATAGTACGGCAATAATATTTAGGGTACCCAAAAAGGGACCATAATTTTGACAACCACCCTGGTGTCTTCAAGACTCGGCTTGTGGGTTTACCTTAACCTACCAAAACCATACTTTTTTGTAGGGTCCCTATAATTTCCATAGTAGGGATTATAGTAGGAACATCGAAAAAAGCAGGGTTTGGTAGTTTAAGGTAGAGCCTACCTGGATCCCAAATAATCTACCGTTTTTTGGGGTTCCCCAATATGATTTCTTTATATAAGTCCTTAAACAGGTAGGTTATTTGGGTTAAGGTATAGCTCATGGGGGTAAGGTGTTTAGGGGTTTTCTAGAACTATCAGAAATGATGAACATGCTCTTAAGCATCATCATACCAGTGATACTGCTCAACGTCATCGTGATATGGTATACCACAGTGTTAACCAACAATATAGTATATAGCAGAATATTGCTATATACGAGCCATAATCATCGTCATAACTATCGTCATCCGACACCACAGATTACCCTGCAAACGCCATGCTGCAAGCAGGTGCTCCACAAGGCTTAATTTAACGGCGAAGTGAGCTGTTAAGCTGGTTCAGGCGATCCCAGCCCTGAACCTTACACCGCATCTCCGATCCTGGAAGCCTGTATGGTGCAAGAACACGCAAGAAGCATCAGACAACTCAGACTTTAGGATTCAGGATTTCCACTAACGGAAATTTGCCTTAAGCCTTGAAGCCTAGCTACGCCCGTGACATAAAGACTGGTTGGTTGGGCTCATGCGACCTTGTCTTACAGGGTCCAAGCTCACTATGATGTCGACGGTTTCAAGGCCACAGTGGGGCGTGTATCGTAGACGCCTGTGTAATGCACGTTTTTGCTTGTGGACCTTCTTATGTCAGGATCCCCACAATCCCGGTTCAGGGATGGGAGGTTATTAGCCAGAGATCCGCACTAAGACACACACACACACAGACACACGCGGGGTCTAACATCCACAAAGCATAATGAACTGCATCGGACTTTTCGGCCCCAAAGCTTTTCAAGAATCCAAACCCTAAACCCCTAGCCTAGAGCCATAAACCCTAAATCCCAAACCCCTAAACCCTAAACCCTAAACCCCAAACCCCTAAACCCTAAACCCTAAAACCCTAAACCCTAAACCCTAAAACCCTAAACCCCCAAAACCCTAAACCCTAAAACCCTTTAAACCCCTAAACCCTTTAAGACCCCTAAACCCTAAACCCTAAGATCTGGCATGAGCCGAAGCAGCCTCGAGAGGAACCTGCGACCGGGGCACAGTCTACCCGCCGAATCAGAAGAGTCTTTGCAGCAAGACGGTTCCCTCAAACTCCTAAACCCTGAAACCCTAAACTCCTAAACCCCTAAAAAGCTCAACTCCTAAACCCTAAACCCCTAAACCCTGAAACACCCCCCCCCCCCCCCCCCCTAAACTCTAGACCGCAAGACTGTTCCTTGTAAGCCGAAGCCTGCAAGTCCAGAACTCTGACGCCCCCAAGCCCCAAACCATGATATGACCCTGATGGATCCCTCATGGTTTAGGGTTTAGGGTTTAGGGTTTAGGGTCTCCAGCCGCTACTCAATCCTGATAATCCCTTATAGGATCCCTTCATGGGAGCCCCAAAACAAAGCTACTCCATGATGAAAAATCCCCAGATCTCCAAACCCCAAACCCTTCGGATCTCCCCGTCGCGACGGTGAGGCCCTCCGCATCCAGAGTGATGGACTCGCCGTTCCTGCGCTGCTGGAAGTGTCGGGCTCTGGGTACTATACTTTTTGATACTTGTAAAACAATATACATATATTCCCAACATATTTTGACATCATTTCATAACATTGAAAATAAATGAATATATATATATATATATATATATATATATATATGCATGCATACATACATACATACATCGTTGAAAGGCTCCTTGAGGGCTCGATGAGGGTTCTCTGAACTTTTTTTGATGGCTCTTTGCGGGCTCTCCACTGGCTTTGCCGCATAGTGTCAGCTTTCCAGCTAAGGTTTCGTTTTTTCAGGCACCCGTGTCTGCAGATGCATATACCCCAATCCTAGATCTCGCCTGGATATGTAAGCCAGTACACCTTCTACTCAAAGCGCAGAATCTGGACACGAAACAACACACTTGAACCTCACATCTTCACACCTCCAAACCTTTGCGTCAAAACACCTAAAACCCAACCCAAACCGTCTAAACACTATGAGGGCATTCCGTAGCCCGAACAAAAACTCTACACGCATCCTGTCTCGACCCAGAAGTTCTCGCCGGTCCTGCCAGAAGATATCAGGTTGGGGTTAGGGATTCCAGATTCGAGATTTAGGCTTAAGGGATCTAGCTGGACGGTTCAGTGTCTTCGGTGCCTAGACTCTGCTACCGTAATTGAGATGCGGATTGCTCGTATATGCTTTGGGTTGAAGAGTGGGGACCCAGACTGAGGTTTTCAGGGCTGCCGTTCCAAGTTTGCAGTTTAGAGTGTAAGGTTCAGGAAGGGTTTAGGGGTTTAGGATTGTTTTGGGGTTGGGGTTTAGGGGCTAGAATAGGATTCCTTTCTAGGGGTATCCGAAGCCACTGGGGAGACCTGGAAGTTGTGAAGTACTTCGAGTCTAGCCATTGATAGCCCAAGGTCTAGAGCTTTGAGGCTTAGGCACCGTTCCGCCACACCCTAAGTCCCAACCCAAGGTCTGGCCACCCTATGAAGTTCTAAACCCAACTCTGAAGTTAATTCCTTAGGAATTAACTTCAGAGTTGGGTTTAGAACTTAGGAATTATTCCTAACCCTTAGCCCGACCCCTTTTGGAATGCTTCTCAGGGGTGCGTAGAATCATAGGCATTGATCTCCTTCCAGGACAGGGACGAGAAGCTGATGCTGCGGTTGCCAAATGCCTGAGATTTGGAGTAGAGGAGCTTAGGAGTGTGAGATTTGAATAGGAGGTTAAGAGTTACAAGTACCGTCAGCCATCAAAGCCAGACGCGCCAGTTCTTCAGGGAACACTTTGTTCTAGGTCACCACAAAGTTGCTGACACCGCATGCGACCAAAGTCATTGGCACAGCTTCAATGGCCTGCCGCGAGCGAGACACCTCTGATTGAGTGCCATCAGGAGCACATTCAGTGAACAGGGGGTTAAGGACTCAGAATGGCTTTGTAGGGTCATGTTTGAGAATCGTATTGGATCCTGTTCCTGCTGCCAACTGCAGCCTCTCCCAGAGCCCTGCAAAAGAGGACAAAGTTAAGGGAATGTACATGGCTGCTTTCCCGGCAGTTTCGGGCATCACAATCCTGCACATTATAGGTATCGATATGGTATACGCTTCAGTGGACGAAACATGGGATAGATCGGTGCGTAAACCCTGACAGATCACCAGCATCATAAAAACCCATAAGAAAGTACTGCCAACTATCACAACACTCATGATAACAGTAATCGCAATGTATTGTCTTTTTTATGGAAGTTGCTGGTTTACTCATTTCTACCAGCGGCCCATCAACACATTGGCACACACCTACAACCGGCGAAGCCTGATTGAACAACCTTAGAAGCCCACGAGAAGCCAAAACCCTGAATTGGCAAATCTCCAAATCCCCTTAAGGATGAGTTCTTAGTGGCTGAGTTCATAGGCCCCCCAAAGTGTACGCTTTTAGTTTTATAGTCGGTAACATTATCCCAACAGTGTAAAGTGTATCCACTCAGCTACTAAGGTTAGCTTTTTACAATGGAAGGCAGGACTCCTTCAAGAATCGCCCAACGACTCCTCATGCCTGAGGGGTTTAAGGTTTAGGGCACTTGGGATGCGGCGCCCAAGGGTCTTAAGTCCTAAGCCCCTTGGAATACTTCTTAACCCTAAACCCACAGGAACATGGACCGTGAAAGCTGAAAAAAGCAGACAACAAAAAAAACAAACCCGAAACCATTTTAGCTAAGGTGCCACCGTCGCCTCGAAGATCTCTCCCCGGTCGCAGAGAAGGAGCAGAGTCGACAAGTCCGGGGCCAGCGCGGCAGCCGACACGCCGAATATCCTGTGGTATCGGATTTAGGATTTATGACAGACCGACAATCCATGGGGCTGAGGATTCAAAAGTCAGTCTTGGGGATTAGCATTTCGAGGATTATAAGATTCAGCAACTGAAGGTTTGGGGGATTGCGCCGTTGTATTCAGGAACTAGACTTTTGGGTATGCAGGGTTTAGGGTGCTATGAGTAGGCGACAGCCTACAGTCCCCTTAGGCTCCTGTCATCACAGCGCTGATGCAACACGATGCAGGCGCACGGTTTCGGGTCTGGGGTTTCTGGCTTTGTTGCTTCTCGTGCTGGCAAGCTTTCCCTAGTTGCTGAGTTCATAAGCCCCAAAACATGTACACTTTCAGTTTTATAGTGGGTAGTATGATCCCAAGAAGTGTAAAGTGTATCCACTCAGCTACTAAGTTTCGTGCCCATGAACGCACTGACACTGTGAATGGCCTCGCAAGCAAAGCGATGACCGAGTCAAGTCAGAACCGGGATCATTGGAAACTTGAGTGATGGTCTTGGGGCTCTAGGGTTTAGGGTTTAAGGTTTCCCTTTCGTTGAGACGGATGATCAACCCGAAACCCGAAACCGAAAACCCTAAACCCAAATTCAAAGCTCGAAAGCTGTATCAGATCCAGGTCTGTGAAACGCCGTCGGCACACCATCTATACAAAGCCTGCCACAGTCCTCTTGACCGACAAGAAAGGCCCCCAAACCCACAACTGCCGAAGGCTCTGGAGGGGCCTTAATACTTAAAACAGGTGTATCATAGTAACTCGATAGTAAAGAACCAAGAATAATATGGGCACTTCTTCAAACCCCTATATTGCAGCTCCAACTCCTAAAACACCAAAACCTGAGACAGCGTTGTTGTGAGTCTTCAATCCTGGCTGTCGTCCCCACAGCTGTCGGGAAGGTGCTGCCATAAGGCACCTTACCAACTGGAGAGCTCCCTAGTGGGTTCTGTCAGATGTTTCGGCAAGTCGTACGGGGGCTTGAGGGCTACATGAGGGTCTTGTGAAGTGTTGTACAGTCTTCACGTGAACTTGCTGTTGAGGGTGTGATGAGGTTCTGTTGCTAAGTGCCGACATATATATACACACACGCATATTCATATACATACACATGTAACTGTGTGAACATTAATACAATACACACAATGAGGAACCTAGGTTACCTGAAGTAATTCGGCGTTAAGCCGCTAGACATCAATGCAAGGCTTCCCTTCTGAAACCTTGCTTTGCAGATCCCTGTCAATTACTGGCACAATGTGCGGTGAACCCTACCCAAACCTACCATTGCTGGAACACTCGTTGGAAGTAACTTCGCTTTCACTTTTCCAAACAAACTCACGCATCCGCTGGTGTCACAGCATACAAGACCCAACAAGCATAAAGGAACATCAGAACAAAACTCATGTTGGGCCAGCAGCAGCAGTGTCCTGTAATTACTGCATCTAATGCTAGCGCCGTCATTACATCTATCTTCTCGACCTTATGTGTGCGTATTGGTCCTAATCCCACGCCAGAATCCGATATCAAATGCCACAACCATCATCATGCATCACCAACATCATCCTCACCACCACGGGGGTTGTACTTGCTATCTTCACGGCCATCACCGTGCCCATCACCATCAGGAGCCACCATCAGCAGCGCCACCATCTCGGCCCGCAGCAGACGAAAGAGAACTGCTGACAGTGTTAACTTGCCTCACTTAGTTTGCCGTGATGCTCCAGATGCAGCCCTCCGTTACATTCTCCAAGACAGCGATATCGAAAATGTTTGTGCAAGCACCCCCTTGACGTAGCCTCCAAAGGGGCTCCGGCGCAAGACTCCGCCCCAAGAGCTGAAACCCGGAATCCTAAAATCCCAGAACCTGAAGCACTAAAGTCCAAACTGAAGCCTTAAACCTTGAAACCCCTGAAGTCACAATCCTAAAATCCCAGAACCTGAAGCACTAAAATTCAAACTGAAGCCTTAAACCTTGAAACCCCTGAAGTCACAATCCTAAAATCCCAGAACCTGCAGCACTAAAGTCCAAGCTGAAGCCTTAAACCTTGAAACCCCTGAAGTCACAATCCTAAAATCCCAGAACCTGCAGCACTAAAGTCCAAGCTGAAGCCTTAAACCTTGAAACCCCTGAAGTCACAATCCTAAAATCCCAGAACCTGCAGCACTAAAGTCGAAACTGAAGCCTTAAACCTTGAAACCCCTGAAGTCACAATCCTAAAATCCCAGAACCTGCAGCACTAAAGTCCAAGCTGAAGCCTTAAACCTTGAAACCCCTGAAGTCACAATCCTAAAATCCCAGAACCTGCAGCACTAAAGTCGAAACTGAAGCCTTAAACCTTGAAACCCCTGAAGTCACAATCCTAAAATCCCAGAACCTGCAGCACTAAAGTCGAAACTGAAGCCGCTACACCTTGGAAACCCAGACCCCGGAGCCCTGAACTCCGAAACCCTGAAGCCCGAACCCAGGAACCATGTTTCAAGCACTTTAGGGGCCTTACTAGTTAGCATAGGCTTTTGGGGCCCAGGGTATATACTATGATTTTAACAAGGCACCCCCCAAAAAAATAGTATTGGTAAGCATTGAAGGCCCTACAGTAAACCCTAAACCCTAAACCCTATACCCTAAACCCTAAACCCTATACCCTAAACCCTAAACCCTATACCCTAAACCCTAACTACATGATTAGGGCTTCGGGTTTAAGACCATGTATGCCAGTATTTGTGAGTACACCCCCTTCGCAGCCCAAGCACGAGGAGCGCAGAAACGTGATCCACGCCCGAGAAGGTTTTGACCATAAGCCATGGAATTTCCGACCATCGGCGCTGCTTCGTGGATTTAAGAGTTTTTGGGTCTTGGGAACTAGGAGTTCAGGACTATGAGTGTAGTAATTGAGGGTTTCTAAGTTCCTAAACCCTAAGCCCTAAACCCTAAGCCCTATAAACCCCAGCCCAAACTTCAAAGACTCCAACCGCCCCAACTTTGGGCTCCAGGGATGGATTAGGGCTCCGGGGCTCAGGCTATCAGGGTCTGGGATTCAGGGGTTCAGGATGTTAGGTTACGGTGACCTAAACCCCCCCAAAATATATAGAATAATGCCCCAGTACCTATAAAGGGCCATCATTCTACATACTTTTGGGGTCCAGGTAAGGCTTCAGATGCTTCAGGCGTCGTCGGCACGGAGCTTTGGGCTTCTGCAGGGCTGCCGATTGAGAGGCTCCATAGCTGCCGGCCAAATCATGAATTTCCGGCCGTGGCCCCCTTGACCTTTAGGGTTTAAGGTTTGCAACCCCGAAGAACCTACATTTTTAAGGACTTATATAAGGAAATCATAATAAGGAACCCTAAAAAAGGTAGGTTATTCAGGGTTTACCTACCTTTGGTTAGTAGGGAATGGAGGAATGGGGTACAATCCTAACCAAAGGTAAGTAACGTGCAAGGACAAGCGAATATCTTCTCTTACGTTCGCACATCTAATTAAGCTTCACTTCTACACCCTCGCGTGTTTTAGATAGCAAATCCCCAAAGGCGGAACTAGCGCAGCAAAGCCACTTCACTCTACAACCTGCTACACCGTCTGAGGTCGTTGGCTCGACGATGTTCAGGCATTACCATGGTGATCCTGTCGAGGAAGATGAGGAAGATCTGATTGTACATTATTAGAGTTGTTACACGCTTTGGGGTGTACCAACACTGCTCTCATCGTCGGCACTGGTTGTACATACTGGCGAGTCATGCCACTGGCTCTTACCATGACGTGCTATCGGTATAGTCGCACTAGTAGTCGTCGTTAAAGTAGTAAGTAGGTGGTAGGCAGGTTCCTAGACTCATGAACTTCAAACTTCACAACCCTAAATCCTAAACCATGAACTCCAAACCTTTCAACCGTAAGCCCTAAGTTCCCCAAGCCCTGAACCCTATACCCTAGGACCTGAACCATAGACCCTGAACCCTAAACCCTATACCCTAAGACCTAAACCACAACACCTAAACCCTTCAACCCTACACACCAAAGCCAGAGAAGTTCGAGGGCCCAGGCCACTTCGGCTGGCAAGCGCTTGAACATGGGATTGCCTGGGTTCCGATTTGTGTAGGGCTTGATGGTATAGGGTTTAGGGCTTAGGGTTTAGGGCTTTGGGTTTAGGGTTTGGGGTTGCCTGGGTCTACCCGAAGAGTATAGAGACGGTTACTAGTTATATCTGATGTATCCCAGCGTGGCTGCCTAAGTTTATTTCGGTCTTCAGACTTGGGTTTCAATGTGCGTTAAGAGGAGGCATGGCTTTGGGGTTTGCAAGGGGTCAAGGATAGCCAGTGCAGGGAAGAAGAAGGTCAGTGTGCACAGACATTCTCTGTTTTTCTGCTAGAAAAAGGACTATTGCGCATTAGACCGTGATTTCTGTAACGCAATATTGTGGGCTAGTGAAGGGTTATGGCTAGACAATGGGTTCTGCTATACCATATTGTATATCACAACATATATAACACAATGCGGCATTTGCTGATATATATATATATATATACACACACACACATTTGTATACATACAACACCTATGTATTTGTACAAACACATACATCTAGTATAAGCTGTATAGTTGTTTTGAACTCAGAAACATCAATCTCAAGGACCCCGCCCCCTCCCCGCCACTTCGCCCCAAAAGCCCCCCCTGTAGAGCCCGAACCGGAAGGAGCCCCTGGCTTCACATCCTGGCGGCAATCCCTCGGATCTTCCCGATCATTGGGGACATTCCTCGGCAAACGGCGAGGCAGCTAAATTGAAGCTTCCGAAAATAGGGGTACCTTATTCTGGGGTCCTTATAATAAGGATCCTACTATTTAGGGTACTACATAAGAATTCCCTATTTCCGGAAACTCCCAAATGTCGGGCCCTTAACAATTAGAATAGGGTTTGAGGTTTCGGGGTTTAGGGCTTAGGGGCTTATCATAGTTAAAATAGAATATACTCCCAAACCATATTCGAATTGTCAAGGCCCCCACAGTAGTCTCTGCAAGGTCTCAACTTCAGGCTGGAGGGTGGAGGTAACGGTTGGGTACTGCCCTCCATGCGGTAACGGTGTCTATTTAGGGTACACTGATGCTTGATATATCTACAACATAAAGTATGACTCAACTGTTAACTGAGCGGGGGCAGGATGCAGGGTTACGGCTAGGTTTAGATTTTGAAGCAGATGGGATATGAGCCCCAAACAACCAAAAACGAAGGCCTCTGCAGCCGATGGCCTGCTCCAGATTTTTGGACGCAACCCACCTAAAGGGTCCAAGTACTGGGGCATTACGGTATATAGTAGCTACTTAGAATATACTCGGGCCCCGAAAGTCTATTATCCACAGGTTCTGTTCGACGTCCTCCCCTGAAGGGTTCTGGTGTCGGGCTTGGGTTGGAGGCATGACCGCTTAGGGTAAACCATGACTAGACCCAAGAGTAACCTGGGAATAAAAAGGTTGCCCTTTTTGGTTTAAAGGGGCTTATAAGGGAACCTGAACCCTACAAAAAGGGAATAAGGGCCTACTCCACGTCCTAGATGATGTAAAATCTGCACAGCAGTCGAAAGCCTAAGGAGACACTAGTACCAGCCCGTTTGAGTGGTGGTCAAAATTCGGGTCCCTTTTGGGGTACCCTAAATAATAGATGCCGTATTATATTAGGGACACAAAAAGGGACCATAATTTTGACAACCATCCTTTTGAGCCTGTATGATGACCGACGCTTGGCTGCAGACAGTAGTTTAGCGAAAGGGTTCTGGGGGCCGTTCGGGGCTCCACATCCACAGACGGTTCAACGGCTCAGGGAAATGTCTTCCCCCTAAACCCTCAACTCCAAGCCCTGAACCCTAAACCCTACAAACCTTATAAGCCCTGAGCTTACAGAGGCCCTGGCGTGGTCGAGGGCATCGTGGCGTTGCGCCGTGCGCTCTCGCGCTACATCAGCTGTCGTAGAGAGGTGTGGGGGGGCTTTGTTGCTCCGAGCTTCGGCACTTGATAGGTTGGTGTTGCGTCGGATGCGGACCTCCAAACCCTCCTCTAATTGTAAGGCCCTTCCATATATTGAAGCCTCTGGAGAGAAGCTAGTAAAGCGCTGTCTTGTTCAAAGTGGAAGCCCGAGGCGTTTGGGACGAGTTGTCGCGAGCTTCGGAGGATTGGTAGGTCTCATAGCGGCTTCTATAGGGCGGGGTAAGAGCAATACCACGTGAGCTTGGAGAAGGGGGTGGCACTATTGTGCTCTGGAGCCATGAGTCTGCGACGCTGCCAGGTGCGGCAAGAAGGACGTCTGCACCGAGTTGCAGACTCGCGTGAGCACATAACTCTAAAGAATGTTCCCGAAACCAAACCCCAACACGTAAACCCTCGGTTCGTAGCGTCTTGGCTCACACAACACTGAAGTCGGGTCTGAGCGACCAAGCCGGGGATGTTCTCAGTACAGAGTCAGGGGTATGCTAACTAGAGACAGTCAGAGGAGCGATCATAGCAAAAAGTATTAAGTGTCTCTCTCTCTCTCTCTCTATATATATATATATATGGTTTCAGCTGAAGATTTTGGAATTCAGGGGTTTGGATTTAGAGTCTAGTATGTCGACACAGCGGCCTCTCTCGAAGGCCTATCTGCAAACTCCAAACATTCTTCTAGTTGGGGCCGATGCTATGGAGACTTCCGTTAGTGGACCACGGTCTACAAGGCTTTCTCGTATGACTATCGTAAGGCAACCCAGGACAGTCTATGACTGAATCCTCAGCCTACATGAGGGCAGAGTGTTCGGGATTCAACGGCTTGAAAGCGAAAAGGTTTCTGTACTGTTTTCCCACGCTGCAGGTCACATCAATTCCCACATGCCCCCCCAAGTCTTAAACCTCAAACCCTCAAAGCACTTAAAGGAGCCCCTTAAGGAACTTCGAGGAGCACTCACAAGCACCGAAAGGAACCCTCAAAGCTTTTCAAGGAACCCTAAAGACCCTTGAAGAAACCCTTAAAGCTTCAAATGAGCCGTAAAACCTGTAAAGGAGCCCTAAGACCCTTACATAAAGGGACCCATGCAGACCCTTAAACGAGCCCTCGAAAAACCCTTAAAGGAGCCCTATAGATCCCTGAAAGGAGCCCTTACGGGTATACTCCTTAATTACGGGCTCTACCCCAAATAATCTATACATCCCTTAAAATAAGGATCCTACTATTTAGGGTACAAAATAAGGGTCCCCTCTATTCGGAAACCCAGGGTCCTTAAACAACCTATACATCCCTTTAAGGGAGCCCTCAAAGGAGGAAGCGAAGCTCCAGCCTCCAGGAGATCTCAGTCCTCCTTTTGCCTGGAAAGCTTCCGGATGGAAGGAGGTTACCCTAGGGATCTAAGGACTCATATATTAAGGCTCTTTGGGCCCAAAGACCATACTATATAGGGCTTTTGGGCCATTTTGATCCCCAGGGTTAGGGCTAGGGGCTCTTAGGGTTTAGGGTTTAGGGCCGTTGCGGAATCGCCATGGGCTTTAGATTGAGCTTTAGATTTAGGGCTTATTTCTTTTGTTCGCTCATCGTTTAGGGTCGGCAGGGTGGAGTTGCATAGGGTTTGGGGTTTAGGGGAGTAGCATGGGCGCGAGGCTTCCATCAGGGCTCTGTGGGTCCTTTCGGCTTGAGGCGAAGGGGTTCTTGTTCCTGTTGCCATGGGGGCCCTCATAGTTAGAATACGCTTGCTTTGGAGGGGTTCCTTCAAGGGTTCCATAAGGGTTACTATGAGGGTTTAGGAATGTAGGGGCTGAAATTATGACTATGAGGGCTTTTAGGGGATGCATTGTAGCATACATATATAGGCACTATCGGGGGATGGTAGTATTAGCTATAAACCACTATGGTGCTTCCCGTTGGAAGGAGGTGCATGGGCTTTAGGATTTCAATCGGTGTTACATGGGGTTCATGAGGTTCTTCAAGGCAGATTCTCTAGCGTTGGGTTTTAGCCTCATGGGGCTCTCGGGTTTGCTTGTTTGCCGTTTAAGAGGGTTTCGCTTTAGGGTTTCGGCTGCAGCTTGTTGCAAGGGCTTTAACCACCAACACCCTTCTTATGGTGATACCGAATGGTATAGTTACGGCATGGGAGTTTCCGAAAATAGGGGACCTCAATCTAGTACCCTAAATAGTAGGATCCTTATTATAGGGACCTCAAAATAAGGTACCCCTAATTTTCAGAAACTCCTATATTGTATGGTACATGTACGGTCTAAGCGTATTCGACACTCCATGGGCAGGTTTTTGGTTCTGGTTCTGCTTGCCAACATCCTCACGAGAATAGGGGGAAATCGTGTCGTAGAAATCCTTGACCCGGAACATCCGCGCCAGACCTGAACCTCCTCAGCCTGAAACCTAAGCTGCGCCTAAACCCTGAACCCTAGTTTCCCCCCCCACAAACAAAACCCTCCATTACCAACCCTAGAATGTAAACAATAGAGCAGCCCCAAAGAAACTTCCAGAACCTCGAGGAAACCCTCCGAAGACCCCCGAGAAACTCTGAAGCCTCACAAGGTGGGATGAAGGTAGGTGGGATTAAGGATCCCTTATATAAGGACTCTTATTTGGGAGTTTCCGAAAATAGGGGACCCTAATATGGTACCCTAAATAGTAGGATCCTTATTATAGGGACCCCCAAAATACCTACCCCTAATTGTCGGAAGCTCCCATTTGGGAATATCCCACCTACCTTCATCCTACCTTTTGAGGCCCCCGAGAAACTCTGAAGCAGTAGCCGGTTTGGGCCTTGAGATCCTTGCCTTCCTCGCCCTTGAGATCCTGTCCCCAGCTTCAGGCCCTCCAATATCTCTTAACTAAGGAATAGTCCTTAAAATGATAGTAGGATCCCTAGTATGATTTAAGGAATATTCCTTAAATTAAGGATATTGGAGTCTCTGAGGCATTTTTTCGGGCTCCAGTGACCTAAATACTAGGTTACTGCCCGTAGGCCCGTAGTAGTTCTTTTTCTGGGGTTCATATTCTTTTAACCCTAGAAGGTAATCCCGAAGGTAATCTACTATGGGGCCTACGGGTAACCAAATATTATATACTGCAGTAACCTACTATTTAGGCAACTGGAGCCCGAGGGTATGTTTCGGATTTGTGGGTTTGGGGTTTAGGGCTTTTTCAGGTTTCGGGTATGAGGTTCAGGCTTCAGGCGAAATCTGTTCCTACTTCGGGCAACAGCAGTGCGAGTAGCTAGCGCTCCCCCAGTAGATGTCGGTGGTGATAGTCGTTGCAGTGGTAGCAGTACCGGCGGCAATATCGGCAGCAGCAGCAGCAGCAGCAGCAGCAGCAGTAGCATTTGTTGTTGTTGTTGTTGTTGTTGTTGTCCGCGCTGCGTACTGCATCTTTACAGAGCGAGTGTCCTGCTCCCCAGTATTCTCAGACACAAGCAGTAATATACCAAAACACCCTAATCCTGAATTCTGCCTCTAGGGGCAACCGCCTAGAACCTAGGCGGTTGCGCCTGACGTCGCAAGTCTGTAGAAACCAGCAATCGCCAAAACCTCACCACGTGATACAGTACCGAAAACGCTTGCCAATTCTAAAACTAACGTTTCAGCGCGTGATCTGAAGACTCTTTGCATGAACAAGCGTTCGGTTAGTAGGGAATGGAGGAATGAGGTACAATTACATCTACTATTATTACCATTCTTCACCTGCTAACCAAAGGTAAGTTAGAAGCAGGGTCTTTGGTCCAAAGGCCTCAGCATGTGAGTCCTTGGAGGCCTTGGAGCTTTAAGGTTGCTGATGTATAGGGGCCTTAAAGATTAGACTAGGTTTCCTTTAAAGGGGTCCTTAAAAGGATCTGTAGTAGGGTTTTGTCATACTAGGGGCCTTAATGATTAGAATAGGGTTTTTGGGCCCATTATACTATAATTGTAGTAAGGAACCCCCCCAAAATAGTGTATGTCATGTTTTTAGGCCCTTATAGTAAGCCCTGAACCCTGTGGCTTCAACTTGACCACGGCATCCCTGTCCTCAAAAGGAGCATCGTGAAAGCCCATTGTTGCTGCCCAACGCTGACAGACGCAGCAGGCACTCTTCGCTAAGTACAGAACCACGTGGACACTGTACCAGCGTGTAGAGGCTGCAAGATCTTAAGGCTGACTTAGGCGGTTGTATGATCTGAATCTTTCCCTAGACAACATCTTGTATCTCATAGAGGAGAAGTCATTTTGCTGGAACCGGTTTTACACTCGTCATTTGCAACTGTTACAAAGCAGAGTGGCGATTGAATTGTCGTGAAAGCCATGTGGTCCAAAACTTGCGGGAACAAGCTTGCACAGTGCCTGCAGCTGCTGTTCAACCAGACTCGAGAATTGGCATGACCTTCCTTCCACTAAGAACCTTACATCCGGTGCTCTAGACTAGAGCATTCAGGCACGAATTCCGTCCACCTTCACCCTAAACTTCGCAAACCTGCACCGCGGAAAACCGTAGGCGTGATCAGACGAACTACGGCAAAAAGTCGAACGGCCGTTCGCTGGCTTTTTCCCCCGCGGGAGCGCTGACGCCACGAAGGGCTGCGTCTGCGGAAACAGGTTCCCACGAGGGTCGCGGGTGTGGGCGAAGTAGTCGTCGAAGTCGAAAGCGCAGTTCCTGGGCATAGATAGCATAGAATGGAATGGAATCCATAGCCATAGCATGCTTGTAGTGCTTTAAGGGCTCGCAGAGAGCATGAAGTACTGACACTGTGAAGCAGTAAAGAATGGCTCGTGGCGAAATGTGTGCTGTGTAAGGAAGGCTGCTCCCCTGCCGGCACATGCTGCTCCTCGCCCTTCAGCGCCGCTTCCAATGCGGACAACAACTACAACTACATCAAATACATGACAACAACGACGAGGACTACTGCTGCCAGCGGAGGCAGTGGCAGCAATGGCATCAGCAGTGGCAGTAGCGCGAGGGTATGTTTTATGGCCATTGGGTCTGATTCAGGCTTCCGGTGTCCCACCCGACACCCAGGCCCCCGACAACCCCAGCCGACTCCAACAGCTCTGAATCTTGGATGCTAGATGCCAGTAATTCGCATTACTATTCTTATCATTGTTATTGCTGCTATGCATAAAATTGTTCACTAGTGTGCCTTGATGCCTCAACCCCGTAACTCCAGGCCATGATGCCACAAGCCACAGGACTCTACACTAAGCGCCCAGCTCCGAGCACCCAGCACACAAACCCTATCCTGCCCTGTCCCCGTGAAAACAGAGCACTACAAAGCCCAAGAACGCAAAACCGTAACCCTAAACCCTGAACCCTCATCACTGATCCCCAAGCCTCAACTGTCAGCTCCGAATCCGGCTCTGATTTTGCCAACTACTATAGTTCAGGGGCCTTAATAGTTAGGATAAGTTTTTTGGTGATGTTAGACTATGATGATAATTTGGGGTGTAATTTGGGGATATTACACTATGATGACAATTTGGGGCATATTATACCACGATGATATGGGAGTTTCCGAGACTAGGGGACCCTAATATAGCACCCTAAATAATAGGATCCTTATTATAAGGACCCCCCAAATAAGGTACCCCCCCAATTTTTGGAAACTCCCATATTAAGGAACCCCTATTCGAAGTTCTCAGGCTTTCTCCCTCCAAGGCCATCTTCGCAGGAAGGGATGCAAGCATTGTGCTCGAACCTGAAGTCGAAGGCTTCAAAAAGAGGGGTTTAGGGGCTTAGGGTTTAGGGTTTAGGGGTTTAGGGTTTGGGGCTTAGTACTTAGGGTTTAGGGGCTTGGGGTTTAGAGTTTGGGGCTTAGGGTTTAGGGCTTAGGGTTTAGGGTTTGGGGCTTAGGGTTTAGGGTTTAGGGCTTAGGGTCTAGGGCTTAGGGTTTGGGGCTTAGGGCTTACATAAGCTTTAGGGTTTAGGGCTTGGGGTTTAGGGTTTGCTCTAGCAGAGACTGTAGGGCAGGGGTTCTACAAGGGAAGAATAGGAACACATCGGGGGTCAAGGATTAAAGTACTGGTACTTGGCTCAGGGCTGAGGGATTGGAGTAATGGTTTAGAAGGGCATACCATCGAGCATTGAAGCTTGTCAGGTTCATATGGGTGGTTGTCAAAATTAGGGTCCCTTTTTGGATCCCTCATATAGTACGGCACCTAATATTTAGGGTGCCCAAAAAGGGACCATAATTTCGACAACCACCCATATGTGTGGCACCGTGTCAGCGGGGTAGATAGACATTTCTGCTGCGTAGAGTGAGTTCGTGTTAACCTGTACTGTTCCTTAATCAATGCTACGAATAAGTCTTGCGTTTGAAAGGCCAAAGAGAGGGTAGATTCAAACACCAATACGGGACCCTGACCTGGACCCCAAATGGCCCAGCAAAGGACCCAGACTGTTCAACATCAAAACACCATGAGCCGTCTCTGTGAGGCTTTTGAAAACAAAATAACCACCAGTACGCTTGCTTAACACTTCGGCTTGCATAACAAAGACGAACAAATATGACTCCTAAACCCTAAGCCGAAACCCTAAATCCTATACCTTAAGCCCTAAACCGGAACCCTAAATCTTGGAGAACCCTAAACCAAAAGGAGAGCACAAGGGGTCTGGGCAAGCTTGTCAGGGAGTCGAGGGTGTGAGCGGTCCGCGAACCCATGATGACCATCAAAAGCATACAAGTGTTGTTTCACATGCGCAGGCTCGCACTCCTCGCGAGAAAATGAGGCTTTTGCTTCTCCTCTCAACTCTTCAAACTCTCAAAGCCCTGCGACTCCTGCACAGAGGGCTGCAGGGTTTAGGACTTGAGGGCTTAGGGTTTAAGCTTTGCGGTTTAGGGTTGAGGTCCTAAGTACCAATGCAGCGGGTTATAGCTCTCGGCTCGAAAGCCCCGACAGACCGCTCGCATCCTGATCCCAAAGCCAGGGTCGTTTTAAGGGATCAAGGCTAAAATTTAAGGTACCATAATAGGGATATATAGGGGTTCCTTTGCGGGATCTATAAGGGTTCCTCTAAGGGTTCAGGGGATTTAATTGTGGAAACCATATCAATTACTTACTTACTATAGATCCCTATTATGGTACCTTAAATTAAGTTCCTTAACAAGAAGTTACCATAACAAGGAAACCGTATTATGTATTTGATATAGATCCCTATTATGGTACCTTAAATTACATTCCTTAACAAGAACCGAGAAAGCCCTGAGAGGTTGACCAGCATTGGTCCACCCCCGAGGCAATCGTTCCGCTGGTGCCCACCTGCATTGCTTTTGGAGTCTTTTTTGTTGAGGGCCCTTTTCCTCCCTGCTACAGTCGGAATACCTAGTAGGTAGGGCCTGTGGTTTTGGAAGTTTTGGGCTTAGGGTTCAACCAAAGGAACTTACCTAATCTCGCCAAGCCGTGAACTTGCCTGCAGTTGTAGAAGACCGTGGAATCGGGTGGTGGAGTGTGGTAAGGTACACAGATGTTGGGAGTATAATTAAGGGAAATAGTGGAGATAGTATACCATAATCGAAGGGTGTCGGGTATGGGACGGTTGGTGGTTCTTCTCCAGTACCCAGCTTCGTTTGAGCATCTGCTCGAACCGAACTTATAGTATAAAACAATCCTAAATCCGCAAGCGAAAGGACGTCTGCAAGTGTCGGAGGGGGAGCGGCTGCGAGAGACTACACTGTAGTAGAACTTAAACCTTTGTAGGAAGTAAGCGGAGAGGTTTTATTGCTCCTCATTCCGGCATGTAGATCTTAAGTTAGCAAGGAAGGATTTGCGTTGAGCGTTGATTTCATCCACAAGCCTGAGCCAGATTTCAGACCCGTGGTCTACTCCGGCGTGTGGCAGAAGTGGATAATATATTTATGGGCCGAGTACCCTAGCCAAAACAAGGTCCAATCGAGATTAACCTCGTCATTTGTGGTCGGATAATATGAACCCCACAATGTGAAAGGTTACCTACTCAGCTACAAAGTTGTTTTTAACGATGTACATCATGCGAACAGGCGCACTCCGGTACTGAACGATGCTCACGCCACCCTGATGGATATCTGCGGTGATTGCACGTACTTGCCTTGCTATGGTATCTGCTCTGAACCCTAAACCTTCAAGTCTCAAGCCCAAATCCCAACCAACACGACCCCAAGGTATGCTCTGCATGGATTCGGCACCCTCTTCTCAAAGGCCCCGTGGTAGACTTCGAAGAAGAGGTACTCCTCCGAAGCTTCAGATCTTCCTATATCTCTTTCGTTGTCCCTAAAGTTATAATTTGCGGCCCTCTTAATTCATGCAAAAGATAGAGTCTCAACCCAAACCAAAGCTGCCAAACTGGCGGTGCTTCGACAGAACCAAACAAACCCGAACAGCTGGACTTGTAGCCAAGAAAGAGTGGTTCAAGGCTTCAGGGATGAAGGCTTTTCGGGCTTAGTAGGTAACTACATACTTGAGGGTAGCATCATCCTAGGGTCAGCAGATTGCGCAAAAATCATCCATTGTTTTGGCTGACTTAAAGGTTGACCAGTATCCAGCTCAAAACGAAAGCCTCAGATAGACACTTCTCCACTAAGTTTCCTAAAAATCGTATGAACACACTTCTAGGTTCCTTGAGAACCGTCTGAAACCTTTATCAACCTACATCCTGCAGAGTTCCTGCGCACAAAGAACCCAGTCAAACTGGGCTCCCCACCCAGATTGGCCAACTGACACGAACTTCTGTTTGACCGAAGATCGGCACGACAATGGGAAAGAGAGGCACGTAACCTTTGGGTCGGGCCTTAGGGTTTGGTACAGCGTTTAGCGAGGCTCGTAACCTTTGTCTTGAGATGTTGGGCCCTTTAGAGGCTGTTAGGATTTTCGGTAGGGCTGAGGGTTTTAGGAATTCGTGTCCAGGGTTGTGGGATCTCAGTCAAGCCTTCGGCCCTAAGGAGAACTTACGAGAGATGGCTCTTCTTAGAGCGCTCGCCGCAGTCCATCGACCTCAGCGACCTCCTCAAAGTTCCAGCAAAGCCTTGAAGTGCCAGCTCGGCCTATGCCCTACCCGAACGCCCCAGGCCCTGCTACACTCGCTACCAGCCTAAACCCGGCAGCACACTGAACCCTGCAAGCAAGGAACTTCACCGTGAATTTGACTGATCAGCTGTGGCATGCTCTTTACCTATATTCGCGTTAAGGTTCTTGCTTTATAGCCCTGAAATAGTCTTCTAGGAGCGAAGGTGGTCACTCGTTCTGTGCTTGGCACCAGAGAAAGCAGACAAATCTAACTAGGGCTTCTCCAAAAATGAGGAGCCCTAAACACTCAACCCAAGGCCCTTACAGAAACCTTGCGAACACCTCAGAAACCACGTGCCCCGAACAAAAACCTAGAAGCCCTAAACACTCAACCCAAGACCTTTGTAGAAGCCTTGCAAACACCTCACAAACCAGGCGACCCAAACGAAACCGTAGAAGCCCTAAGCAGCTGACCCAACCCAAGACCCTTATAGAAACCCAGTAACGCGTGAGAAACCACGCGACCCAAACTCAAACCCCTGCATCCGAGAGCCCCGACCCTCGAAGTTCACATCGAAAGCATAGTCGATCTGGGCCCAAAGCATTTAGAGGACTTTGGGTTTAGGGGTTTAGGGGTTTACGGGTTAGGGTCTAGGCTTTAGGGGCTTTAGGTGGTTTAGGGTTTTAGGGTCTAGGGGTTTAGGTTTCAAGGGCTCTTTAGAATCTTCTTCTAGCCCTTCTTTCAGCGGTGTAGGGTTCAGGGGGGTAAGGGATCCTTAGAACGTCAGAGCTTTCTTTCAGCGGCTTAGGATTCAGGGGGTAAGGGATCTTTAGAACGTCAGAGCTTTCTCTCAGCGGCTTAGGATTCAGGGGGGTAATCTAGAAAATGCTCTTCGAGGCCTTCCCCTTCCCTGTGCGGGATCTAAGCGGCTTTGGATTTGGATGGTTGCCAAAATTAGGGTCCCTTTTTGGGTACAATAAATATTAGGTGCGGTATTATATTAGGGACCCCAAAAGGAACCCTTATTTTGACAACCATTGGATTTTGCGGGATTTTCGGGTTTGACGGTTCGGGAGCGGGTTTCAGGGAAGGAAGCATTTTCTGGGATCCAACACTCGACTCAAAAAATCCAGGCTCCAGGGTTAGGGTTTAGGGGTTTAGGGATTTAGGGTTTAGGGGTTTAGGGTTTCAACGTTTCGAGCTGACATATCTGCTCGGCCCTTTGGCGAACAGAACATAGTCTCCGCACCTCATGACGAAGCCGTATGCGACCATCCTATGGCATGACGATACGGGCCTTCGTAACAAAAAAGGGGTGTTCGGTTCGTAACTTAACTAGTGAGTAGAAAATGGTGGATGCATCAACAATCCTTTCCCTCGCCCTCCGTCAACGTTTGCAGAGGCTTCATAAAGCCACCCCAACCACTCAACCCTATACCCTAGTGTAGGGGCCTTCATAACTAGAAAAGGGTTCTGGGTTCTACTATACTAATAGGTATTATAAGGAAACCCACATTAATGGTGGTAGCCATCTTCATATACACTTCTATCCGGCGTACCTGTAGTCAAGCACCGAGCTTACAATGCAGAATCTTTGCAAGCCGCTGCCCCCCCCTGCACCATTGATGGGCAGCCCGCCGATGATGATTAGAGACCATGATGGAAACAGTGGAGGTTTGAGTTCAAGGTTTCGGGGATATCGGACCGGGATATAGGCGTATGAATCCATAGCCTGGCTTCCAGGAGCTGAATCCTGAGCCCAGGGCATTGACACGGAACTTGTCGAAGGTCATGTGCTCCTGGGGTTACCCATAGGCCCCAGTTCCTTTTTGCTGTTCATATTGAGAATCTTATATATGAACCCCAAGAAGGAACTACCATGGAGCCTATGGGTAGGGCTGCGGACTCCGAGTTTAGAAGCTTCACGGCTTCAGGGAGCTTCGGGCCAGGGCCGGGCGCTCCACACTCTGTGCTTCAGCCTGGGATACAGAGGTGTGCAGGTGCTCAGTGAACATGACACCATCCCCAAATCTGAATAACACTTCAAGCGGCTGGCAGAGGGTTTGGGATATAATGTAGCAGAACTATCGGAGCAAACATTGGAACAATACTACGCTACTACCTCTGATTCCCATACCTATGAAAAGCCCTGCACGAAAAAGCCCCAGCAGCCCTAATCTCTTCAATTTCAAAGCCCTCCACCCTAAGCTTTAAACCCTCGCTTCAAAACCTTATGTCACAGGCCCCAAAAGCTAAACCTCTTGAAGCCCTCTATAGAAGCCAAGAAAGACCGCACAAACCCAAAACCCAAATGCCCAAAACCCTAAACCAAAACCTCTAAGCCTCCAAAGCCCCCTAACTACCCCAAAGCCGCTACACTCCAAGACTGTGAAGCCTTTAAGCCGCCAAAGCCTGAGCCCTGGGAACCCCTTGGAAGGACAGAACCTAACACCACTACCGCTGAGACAACACCGAAACCATCAAATCACCGAGCTACAAAGCCCAAAGCCCAGCCCAAAGACCAAAAGAACCCTAAACCCTAAACCCCAAACCCGAAACCTTAAACCCCAAAACCCTAAACTCCTAACCCCTAAACCCTAAATCCTAAACCCCTAAACTGCCCTAAACCCCCAAGTTCAAAAGCCCGAAATCGCTTTTGAGCTCCCGTCCTCGTACAGCCACTGAGAGAAGAAAAGGTCGACGCCTTCCTCAACAAGCAAGTCCAGCCTCAAAACCAAGGGGGGACTTGGGGCTTCAGGGCTTTAGGGTTTTAGGGTTTAGGGGTTTAGGGGATTGGGGTTTAGGAGTTAAGGGGTTTGGGGCTTCGGGTTTGGAGGTTGAGGGTTGAAGGTTTAGGGTTTAGGGTTTTGGGTTTAGGGTTTAGGGTTTAGGGTTTAGGGTTTTGGGTTTAGGGTTTTGGGTTTAGGGGCACTGATGCGCAGGATAGAGTTCCTCTGAGAGGTTCTATAAGGATTTCATGTCGCGCAGGGGCCTTGAAAGTCGTTTGGGGCCTTAATACGCGGGTAGAAACTATAGGTTTCCCTTTAGGGTCCTTTTTTGTAAGGGTGTCGTATTACTCTTGGGACAAAAAACGGAGTACTTACCACAAGGCCGTGGTTCTTCGAAGTTCCAAGTTCCTGAGCCCCGATGCCCATAGCAAGCATCATGCATTTTTCTGGATACCGCCTGCGAACATGTAGGTCTCCTTGCCTTGCAAATGGTCCCAAACTCCATAAACTCCAAACTCTAGAACCTGAACGTTAACTTCAGACATGCATGAACCCTCAGCACATGAACCTCGAAACACCTACTATAGGCGCCGTAGCCTCAAGCATTAGACTAAGGTGTTTCGGTATGCTAACGAAGTAAGCACTGTATCGGGCCGATAACTATACAAACCTCTATGTTTCAAATTGGCAGAAGAGGCTGAGTGACCCACTCTTTGCTCAAACGCTCGTAGACGCATTGCCGGCGCGCCTGTATTCTGGGCCAAAAGCTACGACTTGACTCTACTGAACGTCAGCTCAAGCTTGCTGCCACCAATGGACTATTTGACGCACATGCTACGGTCACAGCCTGTCGGAATGTGAGGCCACGGGTTTCGGTTTGAGAGCTGAATCGCTTAGGATGGCGTATCGATTTGGGACCTTTAGGGATCACTCGGCAGTGGGACATACAAGCCCAATGAATACCCAACGGGTACCTTGATGTTAAGGCCTTCAAGAAAGGTAGTTCATGAAGGAGGATTATACACTTACATGCTTGACTGGGACTTTTCTTCTGCTTTGGGCATCATGGCTTTCCTGCTTTGGGGTCTCGGGTTTCGGCTTGAGGGTCTGCATTTCGGTTACAGGCGCTACGGCTTGGCGATGTGCTGAAAGCTACCGTTGTCCAACTGCATACGGACTATGAGCGGGGACTTAGGTCGATATCTTAACGGCTTCAGGAATGAAGGCTTCAGGCGCAAATGGTTTCAACAAGGTGAGGACCCGGGTTTCCTCTTTAAAGAGGGTCATACCGGGGATCCGAAGTTTGAGGCCTTTCAAGAAGGGTTGCTAGGCATTGGAGGCCTTGCAAACTACGTGTACAGCCCCAAAGAATGCCATAGACTTTCACACATTCTGTAAGCCCCCCTTCTATACCTTAAAAGTCCAAGTCAAGTTTCCAAGCAATGATTTTGCAGTGTTTTAAAGAATTTTTCATACGACTCTACAAGCCCTTACCGACCCCAAAAGTCCAAGTCAAGTGAGTTACAAAAGGCTATTCAGAGAAGGAGCTTGGGCCCTAAAGCTCTACTATTTCGGGACAGCAGTTAGACCTCTTAATTCTGAAACCCCAAAGCCACTATCTCTATAGAACCCTGAAACCGAACCCTGTAATAATGTAGGAACCTGATTAAGAAACCTTGGGCCTATAACCCCCAAAAGTAGGATTCATATAAGGAACCCTGATAAAGGCCCAAGGTTTCTTAATCAGGCTCCCATATTAACCAAAAGTCTGAAAGGCCATATGGGAGTTCCCGAAAATGAGGGACCCTAAGATAGTACCCTAAATAGTAGGATCCTTATTATAAGGACCCCAAAATAAGGCACCCCTAATTTTCTGAAACCCCCATACCGGCCTCCAAATCAAGGACATAGTCGCACCAGCCTGGAGAGCTTCTCGGACTCTATGTACAGCCCCAAGGGCCGAAGCTGTGGGCTTGCCGGTTTAGCGTTGAGGGTTTAGGGTTGAGGGGTTCAGGGTTTAGGGATTTAGGGCTTTGGGTTGAGGGCTTATAAAGGTTTAAGTGCGGGGCTTGGCAAGGGGGCTTTAGGTTTCCATCCTGAGCAAACCCCATCCTACGGCACGCGTCTTGAAATACACACACACACACACACACACACACACAGCAAGAGAACCAGCTAATTGAGAAACCAACAACAAGTTCATGCAATTTTCATGATATATCCTGGGACTTAGTGTGAAACTTGCAGGCTTTAATGCTCAGGGTGGCTGGTTCAGGGCCTCAGGTATGGGTCGCAAACGTGTTGAAACACGAAACTCAGAAGGTTGAGGGGCTTGTAGCCTGATCTTCGACTCCAACCGCCTACCGTGTCATTTGGGGCTTGAGTTCAGACTGCAGGCCTTCAGGTTCATGCAAGCTTACTATGCACACCATAAAGGCAACGCTTGAAGCCTGAATCTGAACGGGAGGTGTAAAGCAGCAGCATGCCTAGAAAGCTCCTAAAAGCAGTGTAAAACCCTCGGAATAACCACACTGCACCCTGCGCACTGCACCCTGAACTAGCATCCCTTCTCTTGGCCCGTGGCTCAGAACAGGGTTCGGGCCGGTGGAGTACCTGCTTGAGCTCGGGAAAAGGAGCGCTTTTGAGGCTTCATGGGTTTAGAGTTTGGGGGTTTTAGGGTTTATATAGTGCTTGATGGGCTTCAGAGTGTAGAGGATTAAGGCTTTAGGGATTAGGAGAATTTGTTCGGATAGGGGAGGGTTTAGGCTTTGGGTTTATGGCTACGAGATGGGGCCTCTTCTTCTGGTTCCTCCAACGACGCCTGAGCAAGCAATCCTAGAGCCTGGCCCACGAAGACTAGATCCGACTCCCAAAGCACAAACTTTGAATACATACAATCACAAATTTTGGGCTTGTGGTCCGTCGCTTGTTCATGAAGCTCCTGTCGGAACCCTCGATGCGGGACAGCGTTCAGAGTTCATGATTTGCAGAAGGCTCGAAGGTTTAAGCAGCTCTTTCGAAGGAGGGGCCATTGCACTTCCTTTGGAAAGGAAACCTACCTCTGCCTATTTCAAGGGAAGCATTGGCGAGTGAACAACTTTCTGCCAGAAACGAACACTTGATGCTATAGTTTCCTCGTGCTGATACTTACACTGTGATTGGCAAGCGGCATGCAACCCGTCGCTGTGCCGTATGCGTACCCAGGTGTCTTTAAATCTCTTTTCAAATCTCCAATCCTCAGCCCTGAGCCCCTAACCCCGACCCCTAAGCCTCGGATCCCTCTATGCCGTTTTTTTGCAACTGGCGTGTCGGACGGCCAGGTGATCGGGGTGGTTGTCGAGACTGCTCTTTTTCGACGTAGCTGTCCGGTACCCTCGGGGGAACTTAGAGGTGAACCTTTGGGAGTTTATGGAGTTCATAGACCCCCAAAAGGTTTAAGATTAAAGAACACCTACTCTGCTACTAGGCCGATGATATCCCAGAGAACTGCCTCTACCGCTGTGGGGCTGGACACGGAAACATGTCTTTTGGCACATGTAACTTTGCCGTCAAAAGAAAAGGTAAGAGATCAGCCAAGTCTGCAGGTAGCATTCAGGAGTAGCCCGAGCTTCCAACACACAAGAAAGTTTCCAAAACAAACTTGAACCAACACCGAAATCCTACACCACAAACCTGCAACAGCACGGTCCAGAAGAAGCCGAATCAGCAAGTAGATTATGATCCAGAGCAACTCCCCCAAAGCGAATAGCTGAGTTCTGCCGGCTCCCAAGACGGGTGAGACCACTGAATGTGATAGGGTTGTGCACCCGTCAAAGTCAAACCCTCGACTACGCCTACATACATCATCGTGGAGCACCATGAGACGCGTCTAAACTCTAGTGAGGCCCTGCAAAGCACTATAGGCTCGATAAGCCACAAGAGCCCGATAAAACCTGGAAGCTGCGGCGAAAGAGACCAGTCTTTTGGACAGCTACCTAACTGTGTCCGAGTTCTCTGCAAAGCATCTGCGCCTTTTTAGTGCTGAATGGTTTAGGGTTTATTTCGGGTTCAGGGATTTAGAGTTTAGGAGCACTTTGGGACGGTATCTTATCGCTTTTTTGCACGGATTACTGTGAGGGAGGGGTAGGATTTAGCACACTCTTCGGGCACCTATGTTACTGTGGCAGCGACCTGGAGAGAGCCATCAGGTGCTTGCTTGGGGGCCGAAGTGGTAATTGGACTGCAGGGTCTAAGGTTTACCTTAACCCGGAATAACCTACATTTTTAAGGACTTGTATAAGGACATCATCATAAGGAACCCCAAAAAGGTAGGTCATTCAGGGTTAGGGTATGGTTCAGTTCAGGGTGTCATTCAATTGTAGGGTTGGCGTCTCAGGGTTTGGGGGAGAGGATTTGGGGTTTAGAGAAACCCGCCAGAAAATACCAAGCCCTGAAACCGAAAGCGCAACAGCCCCGAAACGCACAAGATCACAATTTGGGCCCTGAATACGTAAACTAGAGTGGCGGGACTTTCTGTACCTAGGATCCCCAATAACCTAGGAATAAAAAGGTATTGGATAGCTTTATAAGAAACCCAAGACCACAAAAAGTGCAAAAGTGCCAGCTGGGAGACCTAGATACTTTCTTTATAGCAGGAATCATTTGACGAAGTTTGTGTGGCTTTCATAAAGAATCTCTCTCTCTCTCTCTCTCTCTCGGTCTCTCTTCGTCCATCTATCTATCTATCTGTCTGTCTATCTATCGAAAAGCTTAAGCCTCAAGCCCTGCTTGAGAACTCGCATCTGGAACGATCCTGAATCAGAAGGGTCGAAGTACCAACATAGTAGCTTTTTTGCCCCTCAGAGTATATGCTAGAACTAAAGAAGACCTGTCATAAGTAACTAGTTTGTCTTAAAGGCATGTTCTGGATACGTTGGCCCTTGTCTTTACTACGTTGGTGCTGAGACCCTTTCAGGAAGCTCACAGCTGTCTGCAAGTGTCCTGAAAAGAAGGCAGAGACCAGCAAAGGCCGCGCGAAAGGCCGACAGCAAACGGAATGAAACCCTAAACCCCAAATCATGAACCTAAATCAAAAACCCTGAATGAAAAAACCCCTATCCTTTACATATATACTCAAACTGCTAGAACAATAACTAAAGCCCAAAAAGCACATGTAGCTGCAGCCTAAATCCAAAATGCTAGGCCAGAAACAGTGCTATTGAAGCTCTCGAAACCTCCTGCTCTGGAACCGGGGTGCTTTTCTATTGGTTTATGAAAGGGCTCTTAAACTTAGCGCAGGCTGTTGGTCTACTGTACGTTGTGTGGAAAAATATACTTTATGATATCTATTGATACAAGAAACACCAAAATAGGTATATGTTAACTATTTCCAGGCTTCTATAGCAGGTTGGCGGAAAAAGTCTTGGAGGGTTGTAACGAGCTTCATCGTGGTTTCATGTGCTTCATTGGTGTGAAATTCGGTCCTGTCAGGGCTTCGAGGTTTGTCTGGGGAGGGTATAGTTCGAGGGCTTATGGTTCATGGGTTGAGGTTCGAGGGTGGTGAGGCTTCGGGTTGGACGCTTCAGCGTTGAGGGCTGAGGGCTAGGTGAAACTCTAAGGGTGATAGAAAGGTTGACAAAACATAGTGCTCCTTAGCATAGGGTCTTCAAGAGATCCCTACATGGCCATCTTCGGCAGGCAAGGGCATCTTAGTTTCCCAACGAACCCAAACTCCACCAGCATTCCTTCGGTCCCGCTCTGTCTATCACGTCTGCAGCTGCTAGTTTCAGTGACTGCCTGATGCTATGGAGTCCACCGAAGGCCTGAAAGACCAAATGACCCTCAAAAATAGGGGCCCCATACCCATATACTATGAATCTCTATATGGTATATGAACCTCAGACCCTTGTAGGGTTGATTTCGTCCTGAAGGGCCAACCACCTTACATGGTCGAGTCGCGCCTGCAGTGTGGGCTTCTGTGCGGTCCTTGCAGTCGTTACGCTGCCGAAAATGTGGAAGATGCGCGCAGCAGCGCAGCGTTGGAAAACTTCAGTGAAACGACACGCAGCCCCCAGCAGCACCCGACATAGTCATGGCGACTGTGCACGAAGGTAAGTAGTGCTTCCGGGAGGTCTCTTCCACTTAAAATGGAACGGCACGGCGATGCCATCGAAAATCATCGACTAGCAGTACTGGGTCTTGTCCCCTGGAGCTCAGAAACACCTGCTAGTATATTCAGAATGTCTGATCAGATGCCAGCGTCTTGGTAGGTCAAAGGTTGGTCGGATCTGCCTATAGGGTCAAGAAGCATGCTCCCAATGGTTGTTCCGAACACCCACTCACCCCGAAACCCTGTCAAATCCAACTACATCTTGTAAACCCTATGAATGTGGCGAAAGCCACGTTAACACCTCAGGGCTGAAGGGTTTGGAGATAGAAGTTAGGATTTGGAGTTGTTAGTTCAAGGGCATGAACAGTCCAATCAATTGTGACTTCAGATTATAACCATGGAAACTCTCACAGATGAAACCCTACTTAGAGCTTTCGGGTTGGGTTGGTATTTATGCTTCAGGGAGTCATCTCCAAAGCGGGCTCAAGGCGACAGTCACGCTGGCAACAAGTCACGCTGAGGTCCGCCTTTAGCAGGAAACTTGCGTTGGGGCTGGTCGGGTTGAGGGTTTAGGGCTGAGTGATTTATGCTCAGGGTTTAGTCATCTATAGCTTTGGGTGTATAGGGATCTATAGTTCAGGGTTGGGCGGTCATGAGGTACGGTTGAGCGGTTTAGGGTTCATTAGTTTAAGAATTAAGGGAATTCGGCCTGATAGGGGTTCATGGGCCTGGCGCGGGACTGGTGCCCACAACTTCTTGCCTTTATTAACCCCCCAACCCTGAATCTGAAATGCTAAACCCCTAGACCCTATAAACCCGACAGCCTACAAAAACCTAAAGAACCCTTTCACCCCAGAAGCTTCTTCCATTGGCTTACTTGAAAGGTCAAGGGCACTTGCATAGGGCAACTTATCCCAACCCCCTTCTTGCGGCTGTTGAAAACGAGCCTACCTGAAGGACCACCCTTAAAAGTAGGGGCCCTAAACCCATATACTATGAACCCCTAGATGGTATATGAACCTTAAACCCCTTTTGGGGCTCATTTCGTCCTTAAGGTACTTGCAATTCCCCATGGAGCTCCCGCAGCCAGAAACTCTCAAAAGCTTTGTTCACAGCACTCCAAAAGGGTCGAGGTACCAAGATTGTTGATCTTGTGGCCCCAATATACATTCTGTGTTGGTACTTGGACCACGCTTTGAGCCTCTGTGTAAACAAGCCCAGGTGTCGTAAAGCAGATCTAAGTTGAACACGGGTGTGCGCTCGTGTTTCCCGTCCTTCCTTGGGTCTAGATCATGGCATGTGTGCGCGTCTTGCTTATGTATATGCACGCAAGACTCTATTGGAGACTCTTCAGGTCCAAACAGTCTCATTCGGGATTCTTGGAAGCCCTCCCGAATTGCAGCGCACGAAGCACAAGCCACACAATCTTCAACCGCTCAGTCACCCCCAAACCCCTAACACAAATCCGGATCTCCACAACCCCAGGCCAAGCAACAAACCTGCATAAACCCTTGGACCCCTGTGA